GATCGGGGAACCTGGTCTTAGTTCTAAGGCAGAAAGGAGCAATAACACTTGTGGCTATAGCAGATCAAGGGACCTGGTCATAGTTCCAGGGCCAAAAGGAGCAATATCATTTGTGGCCACAGGGGAGCTGGAGCCCTGATCAGAGTTCCAGGGTGGAGAAGAGTGCTAGCACTCGTGGCTACAGGGAAACAAGATTTCTTACCAGAGAAAAGGCCAGGAGAAGAGAAAACCACAAATCTCCTTAGATCATACAACCTTGGAAGCACTATCTGCAAACTCCTAGAACTAGCTCTGAAAACAGTAGCATAAAAAAACCTGAAGCTTGGGACAGTGCCTCTTCCACCTCAAGAGCAGAGCCTAACTTTAACATAGTTAAAAGTCAAGAAGTAGGCTGGAAAAATGAACAAACAACAAAAAAAGAACCTGACCATAACAAATTACTATGGTGAGAGGGGAAATCAAAACACAAACTCAGAAGAAAACCATGTCAAAACAGCTACAAACAAAGCCTCAAAGAAAAATGTGAATTGTACACAACCCAACAAGAATTCCTGGAAGACCTAAAAAAGGATTTTAAAAATCAAATAAGAGAAGTAAAGGAAAAATTGGGGAAAGAAATGAAAGACATGCAAGAAAATTATGGAAAGAGAGTCAACAGCTTGGTAAAAGAGGCATAAAAAAATACTGAAGAAACACCTTTAAAAAATAGCCCAAATGGTAAAAGAATAACAAAGATCCACTGTAGAGAAGAACTCTTTAAAAAGTAGGATTGGAAAAAATGAAACAAGAAGTATAAAAATTCACTGAAGAAAATAATTCCTTAAAAATTAGAATTGGACAAGTGGAAACTAATGACTCCACAAGATAGCAAGAATTAATAAAATAAAATCAAAAGAATGAAAAATAGAAGAAAATGTGAAATATCTCATTGGAAAAGCAGCTGGCCTAGAAAATGGATCCAGGAGAGATAATTTAAGAATTATTGGACTGCCTGAAAGCTACAACAAAAAAAAGAAATTATCAAGAAAAAATGCTCTGATATCCTAGAACCAGAGGGTAGAATAGAAATGAAAATTATCCAATGATAATCTCCTGAAAGAGATTCCAAAATGAAAACTCCCAGCTAGAGCTAAATTTCAGAGCTCCCAGGTCAAGAAGAAAATACTGCAAACAGCCAGAAGGAAACGATTCAAATATTGTGGAGCCACAGTCAATCACAAAAGATTTAACAGCTTCACATTAAAGGATTGTAGGGCTTGGAATGTTACATTCCAGGAGACAAAGAAGATAGGATTGCAACCAAGAATAACTTATCCAGCAAAAATGAGTATAATTCTTTGAGGGGGGAGGGATGGATATTTAATTGAATAGAGAACTTACAAGCATTCCTGATAAAAAGACCAGAGTTGAACAGAAAATTTGACTTTCAAATACAAGATTCAAGAGAAGCATAAAAGGGTAAACATGAAACAGAAAACATAAGGTATTAAATAAGGTTAAACTGTTTACATTTCCATATGGAAAGATGATAATTATAACTCTTAAGAACTTTGTCATTATTAGGACAGATAGAAGGAGTGTACATAGACAGAAGGCATGGGTGTGAGTTGACTGTGATGGGATGACTTAAAAAAAAATAAAATGAGGGGATGAGAAAGATACACCGGGAGAAAGAGGAAGGGAGCAGGAGAAATGGAAAAATTAATTCACAAAAGAGGCATGAAAGAAAAAGCTTTTACAATGGAGGGGAAGATGAGATAGGAGGTGGCAGTCAATGAGTGAACTATACTGTGATTGGACTCAAAGTGGGAATAACAAAAACTAAGTTGAGTATGGAAATCTAACTTACCTTACTGGGAAGCAGGAGGAAAAGGAGATAAGAGATGGAGGGTAGGGTGAGGGAGAACAGATAGAAGGCAGTGCAGATTAAGGGAGGCAATGGTCAAAGACAAAATAGACTTTTGAGGAGGGATGAGGATAGGAGGAGGGGGGAGAGATAGAGAGAGAGAGAGAGAGAGAGAGAGAGAGAGAGAAACAGGAAAAATAGGATGGAGGAAATACACAGTTAATAATCATAACTGTGAATGCGAATGGGATGAACACACCCATAAAATGGAAGCAGATAGCAGAATGGATTAAAAACCAGAATCCAATAATATGTTGTTTACAAAAAACACACTTGAAACAGAGAGACACACATAGAGTAAAAATGAGGGACTCGAACAAAATCTGTTATGCTTCAGCTAAAGTTAAAAAAAAAAGCAAGGGTAGTGATCATAATCTCAGATAAAGCTAAAGCAAAAATAGATCTAATTAAAAGAAGTAATCAGGAAAGCTACATTTTGCTAAAAGATACCATAGACAATGAAGTAATATCAACAATAAACATATATATACCAAATGGCATAGCATCCAGATTCTTAAAGGAAAAATTAAATGAATTACAGGAGGAAACAGACGGTTAAACTATACTAATGGGGTACCTCAACTTTCTCCCCTAAGAACTACATAAATCTAACCATAAAACAAATAAGAAAGAAGTTAAGGAAATGAATACGATTTTAGAAACGTTAGATATAGACCTCTGAAGAAAACTAAATGGAAATAAAAATGAGT